TTTAAAAACTATTCAGACATAATTTATGAGAAAAGTATAATACCGATTACATTAATATTTTTGGTCAAAGCACTGAATCCGTGAGAGCGAGTTTTTTCAACTTACAGAAACCAGCAAAATAAATTAGTCATGTGTAAGGTCTCCACTCCAACCTAACCTCACCTAAACAAGTCATATGGTGAACAAGGATTAAACAAGAAAATTAATGTTATTAAAAAAATATCCCGAACAACTCACATACCGCGTCATCACAACTATAAGTTCCATAGTTAACTCTAAGTTCTAGTTCTATAATTACTAATAAGTTGCTTCATAGATAACTATAAAACTTGTTATAGTTAATAATAAGTCTCACATTCAATTGTAAATGCCATAGTTATCAATAAGTTCTATAGATAACTATTAGTAACTATGGAACCATAGTTCTATATTTAACTATAAGTTCCATAGTTGAATCATAGTTCTTTATATAACTATAAGTTCCATAGTTACCCATAAGTTCTGTGAAGTATAATTTCTATTGTATACTATAAGTTCTGTAGTTAACTGTACGTTCAATAGTTACGTATAAGTTCTGTCTTCTTGTTCTTTATTTGCCAATCCGATTTCGAATATTGATAATCATATAACATATAACTATATTGTTTTAATGAACTTTTGATAAACATAATTTAAAATTTTTTACGATTTTTATAAGTTCTATAGTTAACTATAAGTTCCATATTTACCTATAAGTATTATACTTAGGGGCGTGCTAGTATGCAGGAACCCCATGAGAAGGAAATTCAAAAGCACAACTGACGTAGCACATGCGACATTAACCTGGAATCCGCAAGGCAGTAGAACCTAAAGACGAACTCGCAATTTCTGGCGTAGAACCATAAACAAAGAAATAAATAAATCATAGGTGAATTGAGATATATCTCTAGAAATAGGCAAAATTGGAACACTTTTGTACAAAGTCTTTGTGAATAGGCAAAGTTTATATAATCAAATATTGTACCGAACATGCCAAAAATAATAAAAAATATATCCATAGTTAACTATAAGTTCTATAGTTAACTGTATGTTATATATAGTTAACTATAGTTAACTTTAAATTCTATAGTTATACGTGACGTAGGTTTGTGTTCAATTCCCATAAGTGATAAGAACGCACTAAGATCATTCAAGATTAGATTTTTTTGAAAGGTTCATGAATATGTATGCTAAGGCAACGACTGCCTATAGAACTATAAATTGTATAAATCTGTTGATATTATCGCTATATGAAGATATGGTATTTTATTTAAGAATGATATTTTAGAATGTAGTATTAGGTGGCAGCGCTTAAAAAAATAATCTTAGTAATCAAGTAGCTTCGGGCTTTATTGGAATTTCGTAATATTGTAACCATATACGACGTTTATTATTATTTCCCACTTAACAAATATATCTAATTTTGGTCAACTTT